GCTGGAAGGCAAGACATCCATGGGCTGCCCAGGGAGATGGTGGAGTCACCATCCCTGGAGGTGTTTAAGCAGAGACTGGATGTGGCATCAGTGCCGTGGGCTGGGTGACAGGGTGGTGTTGGGTCAAAGGTTGGACTCGGCGACTTCAGAGGTCTTTTCCAACCTGGCTGACTCTGCGATTCTGGGATCACCCCAGTCTGATAACAGAGCAACGGAGTGGTGTCCAATACTCTGCATCTCATTCCGTGCTCATCCCGGGAACTGCACAAACAGGAGCTGCACCGAAAAGAACATCCCTTTGCTGGACAGGGACAGGATTAACCCAGGGGGGCACGAGCAGTGGGTCACTACCCCTGTCTTTGTGACTCCCGACATTCGCCTTCCAGCAGGGTCGGCGGCCAGCCGTTGTTTCCGGAAGGAATTTATGCCCCCGAGCCTCGGCATCGCCCACCGGGCCCTCATTTGTCCGCTGGGGAGGTTGATCTACATCCCCAGAGGGAACATCCGATGGGTGCACACACTTGACAGAGCACCGGGGGAGCGCAGGCTCCTTCAAACCGCCCTCCCCTCCACGTCCCCATCCACAAAAAAAGTGCCGGAGCAGCTTCCCAAGGCTGCACGAGCGCTCAAGTCTAATAAACAAGCCCCGTCGGCCGGAGCTGAAAGAATCCGAGCCCTCCCCAACAAAGCATTTAATCCAGTTTGGCGTAACCTCTGACATTATTAGGGATCTCAGTGACCCTAATCCAATCAGATTGATTAACTAAAGCGGAGACCCCATAAGCTGACCCCCCTCTGGCCTCTGCTATTTAGTCCTGACCAAACAGTGGGAGAGTCGTGCCGTATTTACACCACAATGGGGCCGCGCTGAGAACCTGTTTCATTACAGAGGGACTTAAACTCCCATTACTCCATCAATGTATCATTCTTCAATAGTTCATTAAAAGCTGCTCCTCCACAATAACTATTAACCATTTCTCAGCCCAGCTGGCAGGTTTAGAGCCCCGGCCAGCCTTTAGCAGGAGGAGGTGGGAGTGAGTGAAAGAAATGGATGGACAAGGGCTGCCTTTTTAAATTTAAACGAACTGGGGGCTTAAATAGTTGGAGGTAATTTACTTTTATTGAATTGGGGGGGGGGGGAAGAAGAGGGAGGAAACTTTTATTTTGAGGTCCTTTAAAGAGACAGGGCCATGATAAGGTTTTATTGTGTGACTTCTCCTGAGTTCATATTTCTGCCCAGAGGAGTTTCAAAGACAGCTCTCTGAGCATTGAGAGACTCTAAAACTATCAACAGCCTCTTTAGTCCACAGAAGCTAAAATAAAGGCAAAATCACAATTCCCAGCGTATGGCACTGAAGTTTAAGTTGGAAAATGCCTGTTAGGATGCACCGTTCACTTTCTGTTGCCAGGGATGGCGCGTCCCTCTCCTACATCCTCCAAGATTTCATCCTGTGTACTTTTAGAGGCAACTCAAAAAATCTTCCCTTGTCCTTGGTAAACTGGAAGATGCAATGACTGCCTACAGACTGCCAAGCCTCTCAGGTAAGTGGCTGAGCATGAGCTGTGTCTCCATTTAAGGTCACGTTGCTACGGCCATAAATTTCTCCTTTCCTACAATACAGATGAAGACTCACATAAGAACATATTTTTTTTCCCCTTTACAAATTACTGTTAGAAAAGTGCAAGGGAAGGGTCTTTCTTCTGTCCAGAAGCTGAGATTTGAACTTCTAGGGTACTAAAAATCAAATGAACTGCAGCCTCTTATATATGACTGATAAAAAGATGGGCAGGTTTAGGTAGAGAGAAGATGATCAGACTCACTTCTTTTCCTGTGCAGGCATCCTGTTCCTTGCATTCCCTATAGCCTAGGCTACCCAAGACACCTATTCCCAGGGATTTCCAAGTGGCACCTATCTGAATGTTTCTCCATGAAGCTGCACAGCTGCCCATATGCTCCCAAGACCACAAAGGGGGAGAGAAACCCTCTTCCACCAGCCCTGTAACAATTCCACCTGTGCTAATTCCTGAATCATTCCCTGTGCTGGTAGCCACGAAGGTGACTCTGTTCCCTTTGGATAGAACCAGAGAATCAAAGAATCCCAGAAGGGTTTGGGTTGGAAGGGACCTTAAAAAGATCATCTGGTTTCAACACCATGGGCAGGGACACCTTCCACTAGACCAGGTTGCTCCAAGCCCTGTCCAACCTGACCTGGAACAATTCCAAGGATGGGGAGTCCACAGCCTCTCTGAGCAACCTGGATAGGGAATGTTTATTCACAGGAAATGTTTATTCCACAGCCAAGGACCTGCAATCCAGAGTAGTCAAAGAACTGGGTGGGATGGGGGGTTTCTGCTCTTCCTATGTCCTGAGTGACTGACAAAGAGCTGAAGGGACATAGGGGCAAACCTGGCAAGTGTTGCCTTCAAACAACAGCAGATCAGGATCCCCTGAACATCCCTAATCCCTGATAGCCAAGCTCCTCAAAGCCATTCCTGTTTAATTTGTGATTCGTTACAGGATCACAAAATCCCAGAATTGTTAGGGTTGGAAGGGACCTCTGGAGATGAGTCCTGGCTTAAAATATATATATATATATACCTAAATATAGTCTGAGCTAAAACATGTGGGATTTTTTTTCCCATTAAAAAAAGGATCATGGGGAAAAAGAGTCTGGTTTTAGATGAGATATCAGAATATGGCTCTTAAAAGGACCAGAGTCTGGTGACAGTTTGGCACTGCTGAATCACAGCTCAAGCCTAGCCCTGAATGAGCAATGAGATGCCACAGCAGCAAGGCAGCCTCAGCAAGATTTGGGCCTAGAAAGGGTTTCCTGAAGGCATTAAAATTGGTCCTTTTCAAAGGAAAAAGTGCAGATAGTCTGTGAGGCAACAGGGGGACGCTTTAGGGGCTACTCTTGTTTGTGCTGAGGGAGGATGGGGGGTCCCTACTGACTCCAAGGAGAAGCTGCACTTGGGTCTCGGGTGACTTAAAATCCAAGCTGCAAAATAGAGTTTTTCCTTGCTGGCTTTCCTTCTCTCCTTTTCTCCTTCTCCCTTTCTGGGTAGGAGCTCAAGTATGTTCCTACCCTGGGGGATCTGCCGCACAAGAATGCGACCGAGCTGTTTTTTTTTTTTTCACTCCCCCCTCCTGCTGTAGGTGAAGCAAAACTGAAGGGTGGTTTTTGATTCTCCCTCAAGGAACAACATTCTTCAGTTATGAAATAGTCCCAGTCTCCTTTCCCTCCCTGAGCCCGGCTACTGAAACCCTCCAGTCTCAGGCAGGGACAGACCCTTCGTGCCGACACCGCTGTGAGATGAGTTTTTGGCAGCTTGTGGGGTTGGGGTTCCTTTGGTCATGCACAGGGATTGTTGCTGTGGATGTGGGGTGTCTAATCCAAGACTCTCTGGAGCATGAGGGGCTCCATGTTGCCCAGAGACTTCAGGGACTCACCATCCCTGGAAGTGTCCAAGGCCGGGTCGGACGGGGCTTGGAGCAGCCCGGGATAGTGGAAGGTGTAGAGGGTGGAACAAGATGATCTTTAAGGTCCCTTCCAACCCAAACCATTCTGTGTGTCCTCGAGGACATCCAGCCATGGGTTACCTGCTTCACCTCCTGCCTGTGCCCAGTGGATGTTCTTGGACAAGTCATGTTGTGTATGGGAAAAATATCCATTTTTGGCCTAATCCAACTATAGGAGTGAGGTACCCAGAGCAGTGAAAAATGCATGAAAAATGTCGTGGTGTGAGATTTTCACATGGGCTCGAGCACACCCACGCTGTGGGTCTTACAGATGATTATTTTGGGATGGTTTCTCACTGCTAAACCCAAATAGTGACATCAGAATGAATCAAAGAGTCACGGGGCAGTTTGGATTGGAAGGGAACTTGGAAGGAACAAGAAAGAAGGAACTTGGAAGGAAGGAGAGAGGGAAGGAGAGAAAGGGAGGAAAGAAGGAAGGAAGGAAGGAAGAATGGGCCCCTTTGTGCCAAAGGGAAAGGCAGAGCTTAACCCAGACTTTGTGAGACCAGCAGGAGCAGGCTGGACTTTAAAAGACATATAAAAGGATAAAAAATTCTTAAGGGCTAAAATAGGCTCCTACCAACTTATAAGGGAAAAGACCAGATCCCCAGACTTAGCCTGGGGCTTAAATCTCACAGCATCCAACATCTTAGGGTGCAACATTTCTGAGAGTTCCCACTTCTATCAAAGGGTGCAGAAACAGTTGCCTGAATTTGCACCCTGTCCTAATTTGCCACGTTCATAAACAATGAAAGCAGAACCATTAATTGATGGTGATTTCCCCAGCCCTTTGCTCTTCACTATATTCCACTCCAGTATCAAAACTGCTGTTATCTGATAAGGCCAGTCTCAGGAACCATCCCCAAGAGCCCATCATTTCCCCTCTACCATTTTCTAGAGAGCTGGAAATGAGCATGACATTCCATGGGGTCAGAAAAGGAGTCAGACATCCAGCTTGACCACTGCCAACACAATAATCCTTGTGTTCCTTCCAAGGGGCACAGGATCATAGGATAATTCATAAAGGGGCCCTGGGAGGTCTCCAGTCCAACCTCCTGCTCCAGGAAGGCTCAGAGGTGACCCCGCTCTCTGTGGGTACTTCCCAGTTCTCTGGGTCACCTCTGCAGTCCCAGCAGAGGTTTGAGGTGAAAACAGTGGTTACCTGGGAGTGGGGATTGGCTGTGCAATGGGGGTGGGGGGTGACCACCCTCCTGACACTGGGGAGGCCCCCCAGGTCCTTGCTGTCCCTGTGAGAGTTACCTTCTTGTCTCTACAAAAGACCCTCTGGATCAGGTTTGAAATGCTTGGGTGGGCTCCTGGGCCAGCTCAATTTTCCCTGCCTATATCACACACGTCCTTTGTCCAGCTCAAGTCCCGTCTCCTGACAATTTTTCAGAGGGAAAGGAGTTCCCAGCAGGTTTCCCAAGGTCTCTGCTTGGGATGGACGCTGCTGTTCCCAGGCCCGCGGCGCCGCACTCACCTTTGTCCAGCACGGGCCCAAAGATGGCCAAGCTGTCATTGACAGTGGTGCAGTTCCACCTCCTCCCTCGGAACTGGTGCTGGCATTCCTGGATCCCGATCTTCACCCCTTCTGCCACGCTGGGCATGATCTCCACATAGTTCCGACAGAAGCGCAGCTGCTTCGGCACCAGGCCCGGGATGCTCCCGCAGAGGATGGGTTGAGTCCCCAGGGAGGAATACTGGTGACCAATTGCCAAGGACCTGGGTGGAAAAACAAGGAGAAAGGGATACTTTCAGGCTGGCTTTCACCTTGTTACTTGGTTCACAAGAACAGGGACAGAAAATCAAAATCTTTGGTTCCTTTGCTTTCCCCTCACCGGAAAACATCATTTCCACTGTCACCCCCTTCCCCAAAAACATCATCTCTGTCTCCTGAAGTTCTCTACAGGCCCAACAAGGAAAGAAACTCTGCTTTTAATACCTTCCTTCCCTTTTCTTCATCCTCTCAAAGCCTTAACCCATCATTGTGCTGCTTCTTCCCAAGGATGCTCAGCTCATACTGAGAGTTTTCTTTAAAACCAGGAGGGTCAAACCTGAATTTCTTTCTTTGAGAGCCAAGCATATCTAGACAGGATGTTTTATGGGAAATTTTGGCAGTGAGGAAGCCCAGGGAATAGCCTGGGCAAAAGCACTTCCAGAACTACACGAGGGAACAACATCAGCAGGAGAAGACACCAGTCTTTGGAAGGGGAACACCAAAAATTCAGGAAGGGGAACACCATCATTCTGTGGCGCTTTGGGTAAAGTGAGGAGGGTGAAATTAAAGCCAAACCGAAACAAAACCAACGAAATAATAAACAAACAAAAAAAAAACAATTAAACTTGAGTGCAAATTCTGTGCTCTGCCCAATGGAAGTCTTGAAAGGAGTGTCCATGAACCCTCATGTTGGAGAAGCCTTGGAGACAAACAAGTCAGCTCAGCAGATATGCAGCTAATTGGATAGATTTTTAAAGTGTTCTTACTGGTGCTTCTAATAATAACCTTGATTACTAAAACTGAAGGGATTTTTAGAGCATGATTTCCTTTTCTTCTAATTAAATCTCTTGATTGTCTTTTCTGCCCCGAATTAATGACAGAGAGGAACCTGCCTGGGCAGTGTGTATTTCTGTTTACATTCATTTTTGCCCTGTGGTTTTCATTTGGGAACAGCCTGGTGTGTTTGGATTATCAACAGGGCCATCAGGGAATATGCCTTCCCTCCTTCCCTCTCTTCTGCTCCAACTAAATAAAAGTACAACAATTCTATCATCGCTGAAGTTCAGATGAAAATCAGCTCGACTTTAATGCTTTTCTAGGATAAAAGTTGTCTTAAAGTGTCTGTGCTGTTCATGGGAGAAGGGTCCTTGCAGCCAGTTAAGTCCCTTCCTGGTGGGGACCTGGTCAAGAGGGGACAGAAGGGAAAAGGAGGTGGACATTCACATGGTCAGGAGCTACTTCTCAGTGGCTTTGTTAACTATAGACTAAAGCTTTACAAATCAGTCCTGTCCAGGCAGTGAGACATCAGTTTCTGGATCCCAAATGACCCCCAGGTAAGAGTCTAAAACCAAGATAATCAGCTCAGCCAAGAATGTGCCCTCCAGTAAATGAGCTTTTAGGTGGACAAGGTAGGAGGTGCCTGGGGAAGCAACGGATTTTCAGCTGATTTCCTAAGCTTGGATGCCTCTTTCCACCTCATCTGCATTTCTGGGAGAAGATTAATCCCACTTAACATTAGAGGACAATCCATCCTACCCTAGGGAGGGAAAATGAGACAAACAGCACGAACTTCCCTCTGGAAGTGCCCCTCTCTTCCCATTGCATTCAAAGAGGGAGGAGGGCAGCTCACCTTGAGCAGGTGTTCGTGTCACCCACCTTCTGATGTCTGTGCCATGGACTCCTCCAGCTGATCCACCCACCCCAACCTGCTTTTGTAACCAGCCAGTGGAGAGGAACAGACACTTCCACGTCACGGCTCATCTGCCCATTCCAGAGGTTTGCTCCGGGCTGAGGTGAATCATGGCCTTGCCCCCCTTGGCCAGACTGGATCAGTGGGGTATGTCTGCACTGTGGAAGCCTCCAGATGAATCATGCCACGATACCTCACAGCTGGGATGGACAAGTGCCTTGGAAAAGTCCCACCCAGGAAAGCTCTGTGGAAGTCCTCCTGTAGGAAGGAGGCAAATTCCTGCGGGAGCCTGCAGGAACCCACAGGAGAAGACCAAGGAAAGGGCTCATTAAACTCATTTTCCCTATATCAGGGCCTTGATATGTTGGTTGTTGGGGTTTTTTTTGAGCTTTGGATTAATTCAGGGCACAAGTATTGGCAGAAAAACCTCTGTGAAATGAAGCCCATGCCAAGTGTGCTTTTTTTGTTTCATACACAACACTGGACTAAAGTGTTTCTGCACTAAAGGCACCTTCTAAAACACTGTTTCAGGCTTCAGGGGACTTGTTGAGCTTGTTGCCTCTGTGGCCTTGTTGGAAATGGTGTTTTAGGGGGCCACATATCCAAATCTCACTCCACTGAACCCCCCAAGAACTGGGATTGAGGAGATATTTACAGGTTAGGATTGGGAGGTGGGTGGTCCTACCTCTGCAGACAATGTGGAGAGATGCCTTCAATGAAGTCTCCAGAGAAAAGCACTGACTCACCCCTCAGAGAACATTCCATTGACTGCAGAGTCCAGAATGTGGACACTCTCCAGTGTCTTAAGTTAACTGTGCTGGAAACATCTGCAGATTTTGTTTCCACATCAACTACAGTCGCCAACATCCTTCCCAAAGCTTTCCAAAGCCCCCTGTCCAATTCCCAATAAAGTATCCTCTGAGACAGAATCAACCTCTTGCGGGCTCCATCATGCTGAGAAGACAGAAGGATGTTTTTGAGCTGTTTCAGTAGGACCTGGGTGAAGTTTTAGGATTCCAGCCTCATAAACTTCAATCATGTGAACAACCAAACTGATGCCTGTCTCTGGGGAGGGGTTTTTTGGTGGTTACTACACTGGTAGAATGAAAATACCAGTCATAGGAAGAGGATTTTATAGGTTGGTGCCCTCAACTATTCATTTCCGCTGCCGGGAAGATCGTCTACGATTAAAAAAAAAACACCAACCAAACATAAAATCATGTAGAAATACTTCTAATTGCTTTTTCACGCTGCTCCCTTCTCAACCCAGCAGGGAAACAGTCACACCTTGCTTTGATCTGAGTTACAGTCTGGGAAGTTTAATCTGCAAAAGACAATCTCCAGCAAGAGCCTCGTTCTCAAAGGTGTCATCGGGGGCCCCGAGACGGTGTCATGCAAATTCAGCATTTTTTGGGGGATTGTGCAGCCCCCTGACTGCCAGCTGAAGGCACAGGGTGGAATCTCAAAACATCTCCCCATGAGCAGTGGCTCTGCTGGTGAAGAGAGCCGAGCACAGGCTCACCTGCACACTCTGGGGGGTTGATAACATCTGCCCAAGCACCCTCTCTTGGTTTCTGCTTGGCTTCCAGCTGTAAACACTTTCTCCCTCTCTGAAGCCAATTTATCTTTTGGAGAACCCAGTTCTTTCAGCTCCCCTGTCATTATTATTGATCACCAGGTAGGAACCTTATGAAACTTCCAACCTTCTCCTCCACCCAAAGGGAAAAAAAAAAAAACCCAACAACAACCCGACAACCAAAACCTTTAGAAAAAGATTGGGAAAGTCTATAAAGATCAGAATCTCATTTCAGTGTTACTCAACTCTCTAGTAGCTCCCATCATTCATTTTTTTTCCTCACTGTTTCCAGTGATTAAACCTGTCATTTGCATTTTTCCACTCTCCTTCTCAACCATCTCCTGCATGTGGGTAATTCTGAAAATGTGGGTCGAGTGTCATCTACTGCGGCCTAACCAGGCATCACCTTCAGATTCCTTAAGCACCAACACTTCCTGCACACATTGATACCAACCTCTTCTCTCCCACTGGAGAATTCCTGAAGCAGGAATTTTACAAACACACTCATCCCCCCCCCAGAACAGGCACTGCTCAAGTCTGAACCGAGGGAAAGGGTCAAAGAGCTGTTCCTTTCTAACCAATTAGGCTTTTTCTTCCCATTAGCACAGGAGGAGCCATGAAAACACTATTCTGTATGTCCACAGCCAAAGTTCTTGGCTTATCTTTAAGCCTTGCATGCCCTGAAGTGTTTAATTCATCCTCCAGTGTGCATTTTTCTTTGCCAACACACCTAGAGAGCTCTTCATTTCCCTTATCTCAAACTGCTCCTTCAGCAGAGCCGTTGTAAATAAAGAACCTGGCCACCTTCTTCCTAAATTACATGTACCCTCCCTCCTGGAATGGATACCCCAGCCAGGTTAGGAGGGAGAAATATGCAGGAAATACCTGCTCAGAGCTTTTTGAGGGAAAAAAAAAAAAGAAAGCCCTTCGTTTCTGGATGACCTTGCTGTACAGCACCACTCCACCGACTTGGAAAGGTCACCACCTTCTCAGCACGGCTGTCAAAAGTCCTTGAGACAGCATGTAGGGATTCATACACCTGCTTCTTCCTGAATTCTGCTAGTCCTGAACCCTGCTGGGGCTCTGTGCATCTCAGAGAGGCCTTTTGCTGGCTCCAGGTGCTGCTGAGAACTTCCTCAGTGGACGTCCCCGCCGCGGGTAAAATAACTTCATCTATGAATCTTGTAGGATTATTTACAATTTATTAGTGTAGCCAGGGTGTAACTTACCTAATGACCCAGGCTAAGACCCAGACAAGCCCTTAAATGCCCACCAAATGTTGGGAACTGAGGAACAGCAGTGACTTTGCTCCCTTTGTCTTACACAGATGTGAGGTGGCAGCCAGCCCTGCTGAAGGAGTTAAGTCAAGGGATGTCCATGTTCTCTTGCAGGTCCTTTTTCATGGGATCCCCTAACAGCAGGATGTCCCACCTGCTCCAGATCCTTCCTTATAATCCATTCAGCTTTTCCAGAGGTTCAGCTCATTCCCTGTTCCTCTCTCTCTCATTTTGGCTGCCTCCCTGGGGGGACACATCCCTGGGAAGATGAGCCTCAGCCACACAAGGAAGGAGGGAACAAGCTGTGCAAAGTGGTCCAAAAAGAGAGGTCTAATAAGAGCAGTCTAAAAAGGTGCATTTTCACAACATACCCTTGGTCTTATGACCCTAAAATATTGAAATTGAGGAGGTGGGTGGAGAAGCCTCCATAGGTTGTGACAAACCGTAAGGAAAACCCATCAG